TACTAATACGCTACTTTTTAAGTCTTTAAAAAAATATATAATTATTACAAAAGGCTTAAAAAAATATTTGGAAAGTCACGAAATATTGTCAGTAGGCTTAGATTTAAGCAACGTATAAATGTTTGCACGGTTTGTACGGCTGTGCATGACAAATTTCAACTTTTATGTTGGCTTTCCTAAAAAATTGCTTTTAAAAAGGCATTCTAAACATCATTTCCTTTACTCTTGTATATTTTTCTGAATAATAGATAAATTCAAATAATTTTTGAATCTAATCTTGTAACATATAAAATCAAAGAATAACGTTATAATGTCAACCAGTAAACATGATGATGTTCAAATTGACTTAAAGATTATGCAACATGGCTATGAAATTTCAAATTTGATTTGTTCACCTAATCTCAAATATATTGCAACATTGAGTGAAAAAGATGAAACTATTCTTATATGGCCAGTTAAGGATAAGGAAACTCATTTAGAAGCATGTTCAAGTTTCAATGCTACAGATCTTTATGATGAAGATGATGGAAGTCAAAGTAATGAACATGGTGAAAGCATTTATAAATTGGGAGAATTATCAGATGACGCATTAATAGTCTTAATGAGTGAAACCTCTTGTAGTAAGTTATATTAACGTTAAATATTGAGAAACATATTTATAGTTTACAATGGGTCCATATCATTTTCTTGACATTTTTTTCTTCGACAGTTATTTCACCGGCATTACATAGGGTGATTATTAAAATTTAAATATTAATCGTCATGCTACATGTCGGGAAATGTTATGGACACGTTTACGATTATTATCACTAAATTTAAATTTTTTTCTTTTAATGTAGTTATGTATAATACTAAGAGTCGTAAACGGGTTAAGATTCCATATTTTAATGAGCAGGATTTATCTGAATTTCTTGTTTCTTTTTTTAAAAATGGAGATTTTGTTCTTATAAATCATTCAAATATTTATGTATATTCTGTTAATATTAATGCTAAAAATATTTTGCAATGTAAAAATATTTTTGCTTTTACTAGTAAACTTGATCAATGTATCTTATCTATATATGGGAAATTACTTGTTGGAAATGATTATTTAAAATCTCAGTGGGACATAAAAACTGGAAATTTTGAAATACAATATCCTTCTGCAAATGATCTATTATTCAATAATTATAATAATCTATTAGCAATTTGGTACAATGGTTTAAAGATTTATTCTGCAAAAACTGGAATTGAAATTTTTTCATGTAAGTAATTGCTTTTTAAAAGTTTTTGTTAAATCATTAAAATTACAATATCATTTATTTATTGTATTTACAGTTAGTGATAAAATAGATTATAAGGATCCGCATAATGAACATTTTCAAATTAGTTTTTTAAATCAGGGTGAACGTTTATTAATAGCTCACTTTATAGAATCAACAATGGAAACTTGGATAATTGATCCATATTCATTTAACGATCCAATTAAGATAGATTTATATGATGATATCAACTCAAAACAAATTGGATTTGTTCCTAAAAAGATATTTGAAAACAAGATTATAGGAATTGTCAACCGTAAAGTTCAAATATATGATTTATTTCAGGGTGATTTTAATGAATACTTACCAAAAGATTTTAAAGATAAGATTGAAATTTGCCAGGATGATTTTAAAGAATACCTGCGGGAATATTTTAAAGATAAGAATGAAATTCACCTTCTTAGTATCATGGAAGAAATATTATTCAATATAAAAAAGTCAAAAGGTGACATTAGTGGTGTTTTTAAAGATGATACAGAACTAATAAAAGAGTATCCTGGGAAACTAGTTACTTGGAAATATGATAAAAGTGATGAAAATAAAATGAAATTATCTGCATCTAGATGTGGCGATAATACCTCTAAACCATCTGATGAATTAAATGTGGTTGATGTATTTCTTAAAAAAAATCTACTTGACCCTTTGCATATTCTTGCATTTGAACTATTATCTAATGATGAATTAATGATAATAGCAAAATGGTATCATGAAGGTTTAGAAGATTTTACTATTGTTGTGGCTCTGGATCATGATAAGATTCAAATAAAATATTTTTTTAATACAAATTATTTACTAAATTGCTTGGAAATATACAAGATAAATGAACCATCTAAGAAACCATCTGAGGAACTATCCGAAGAACTGTCTGAAAAATTACCTGAAATACTGTCTCAGTCTGAAGAAAAGCTAGTTAAAAAACAATCTAAAAAGCTAACTAATAAATATCTGTCTAAAATATTATTTTCTGTTAAATACTTTGAATTTATTATTAAGCATCTCGAATTGGAATTTTTTAAACAAGATAATTCATTAAATAATCTAATTACAAGTCATGTAGAAGATATTTCATTTTTTAAATTATATGCACAAAATCTTTTAATAGCCGCAATTTCAAAGCATAGAATCGATCTTGTTGACCAGGTTTTTAACAAATGCATGAAATTAATTGAGAACAATCCAGATGAAATCAATGTTCTTAAAATAATTACTCCATATTTACACAAACTTTATGAAAGTTACCCTGGTCATTTTAATAAATTTATATCAAAAACCTCTTTATTATTAAGTCCTAGTCATAGATCTATAGATTATACATCCTATTCTCATCTTCACTCATATACCACAGAGCCACATATGTTTAGACTTATTCCAATTTCAAGAATTTATTTATTTATATATAATTTAATTTCATATTTAATGTTATATTATTCAGATTACTATAAGAAACTATCTGAAAAAAACTTCATTGATAAACAACCTACTATACCTTCTATCCATTTGGTTGTTCCACTACCAAGTTTTTGTACATATAGAACAGATTATAAATTTTGGAAAGAAATGCTTGGAAGACCTTTATCTAATGGATTTGTCAAAATACAAGCCCCTGAATTATATTCTAGTTGGACTGGTGAAGCTCTGCTTAATTTTAAGTGGAGAACGTTTGGAAAGTACTTTTATTATCTTGAATGGACCATTTTTACACTTTTCCTTTTGGTATTTTCCCTTGCTGTTACAGAGACTAGGGGGCTTGTTTCAGATACTTGGCAAAAAATATTTTTGTGGATATCAATTATTATTGGGTGTTTTTTTCTCTTGTATATTGAATTACGCCAATTAATATTTAACTGGAAACGATATTTATTTAATTTGTGGAATTGTTTTGGTATTATTCATAAATTTAATCTGTAAATTCAATTTTAATATCAAATAATTTTAATATAACTATTATATAATTATTAGATGCAGGTGCATTAATTATGGCTACCGTTACTTCAATTTATTGGTTATTATATGGCCCACCACCACAATGGGTACCCTCATTAGCATGCCTGTTTCTTGACATAAAATTCTTATTTTATTTACGAGCATTTGAATATTTTGGTATCTTTTTTGCCATTATTATTGGCGTTGCTCAAAAAGTGTTTTCATATTTAATAGTTTTAGGAATGATTGTACTTGCATTTGCTCATGCTCTTTATATATTACTTCAAGAACCAAGTGAAAAGTTGGATTCAACTGATGTTAATACAGATTTATATGCAAATTTTGAGACATCGCTTTTGGCTGTTTTCTTATTAATGACTGGTAAAAAATTTTAGATATTTTATAAAAAATTAAATATATATTAAAATATATTTGTTATATAGGTGATAATAGTTCACTTTCTACTTGGGATTATCGTGCAAACCCTATTCTAGTCTTATTGATGGTTTCATTTTCTTTTTTTACGGTTATCTACTTGTTAAATTTATTTATTGGATTATTAAGTAATGCTATTGAAGCTTATGATAACAGAGCTGAATATTTAATACAAAAGGCTAAAGTAACTATAATTTTTTTTTTTACAAACCTTTTCAATTTAACCAATTCATTAAGTTTCTTTTATTATTATTATTATTATTATTATAGATCTTGATACAAATAGAGTTGTTTTGGCTTTTTCCAAAACAACGAAGGTGGCAACATTGGTTTCCAGAATACATGTAAATTTCAATTTAATTATTTTTTTGTATGATTATTAATCAAAGATTGATGCTAACATAATAAATACATTTTTTAATAGTTACTATATTGCGCATAGAGACAAGGTTTATAGTAAAATTATAGAAATTAATAATGATAATGATTTGCCTGATGATGCAAAACCAATTATTAGCAACGAACTTAAAAAGCTAGCCGGAATAAATATAGAATCGGATAAGAAAGATAATTTAAAGTTAGATAATGTTGATATTAAAAAGATTTTGGGTTTAGTTAAAGAGGAATTAATTAAAGAGAAAGACGGGACTGGATAATAAAATGAACTTACAAATATACAAAATATTTAGTGTTGGCAAATAAAAGCTCGATTTTTTGTCTTTATATAAAAAAATTTTTTTTATTAATAATTTGCAATTATTTAAACATATATTGTTAGAGCATTAGTAAAGTAATAAATTTAAAATATTTTTATATTTAATTAGTAAAATTTAATACTCAAAATTTACAATAGAAAAATGAATTGAATTATAAGCCAATAGAAAAAACATAGAAAATATTATACTGTTATGTTGTCATATAATGCACTTTAGAGGTATTATAACGGAATAGTAATATGATAACATTTTTGTGTTTGTTGCCTGCTTAAGCTTTATTGATCTATCTAATATTGAATCCACCAGTACCCAACACAATTTTTTCAATTTCTTGATCACAATGAACTTCATTATTAATGTATTGTTTTGCACGTTCATAAATGCTAGCCCATTCACGTCGGTATTCTTTTAACATAGATTTCAAGAACCATATGGTCATACTAGATGTCCATACTAGTTTATCAATATTTAAGATCCGATCTTCACAGCAATGAGATTTGTATAAATCGAAGAGCTTCAATGGTGTTTCATACCCAAATAAATTGGCTAACGTATTTGAAGGTGGAAAACTTCCATTTGGTGCTTGTAAAGCGATGGTAACGCAAAGTGTTGATAAATTAAAAGGATTTTCCTTAAGGTTCGAAAGAAAATCAGGTGTTGGTAGTGGAAGAGGTTCAAGAGAGAAAAATTTTGCTCTATAATGAATTTGACCCTTAGTTGAAAGTTTCGCCAACTAAAATTCAAATAATATGTTTTAATCTCATTATGTTTTTTATTTTTTTAAAGGTCTAAACAATATTTTTCACTTACATATCAATGTCATTTTGTGTGCCTTCATAAATACCTTCAGAAATTTCCTTGACAAAATCTCGATTGACCTCAAAATGATAATTTCCGAGTGATTTATCTTCGTACTAGAACAGTAGTCCATCACATCGAAAATGAATTTGTTGCCAATATTTTTAATCGGAAGATAATGAACTTCATTCCAAATCAGATCCAAATCATTATCATTTTAGTCTGCGTAACAATTTCTTTGCTTTCCTCATTAAAATTCGAATATAAAATTTTCCTGAATAATTAGATCATATCAATATTAATAACTTAATGGCTAATAAATTATAATGTATAAATTAACATATTCAGTTTACCTTTAGTAAAGGAGGAATCGATGTTTTAGCTCTTATTAATTCTAGTCTAATAACACCGATAATAGCACAATCTAGTGAAATAGCCGAAGGAAATTGAAGACTATTTCTTTATTGCTGTATCTTTCTTCCGGAGAGACTTTAGCTTTGGATTCTTCTACTTCCGATTTCTTGTGATCAATTTTATCTCGTTTCTGTTCGTCAATCATTTTATCTGTAGTTTTATCAAGATCAATTTCATCTCGTTTCTTTTCATCAATTACTTTATCTGTAATTTTATCAACTACAAACTTATTAGTACAATCTAATAATTCTTTTTCTGCATCGGCATCACCAATTTGTTTAGAAAGATAGTCATGAGCTTTCTTAGATTTATCTTCCCATTGTTTTTTATGATGTGGTGCGGCGATATTAAGGTAGCTAATAGTAAGTCCTGTCTTCCACCATGGTTCGGATTATGGAGATCTAAGCTTTGGATTTTGTGTACCTTTTTTTTACATAATTTACTACTTCGGTAGCTGGAATATCTATTTCTTTACAAATTGTCTCGTTAACTTCAAAGGATCCGTCATCCTTTTGATTAGACACTATGTCATCACATTTTTCTGGTGTGGTAGGCTCCTGCACCGTAGCAACTGCATTTCTCTTTTTATCTTTAATCACCTTCTTAATGCAATTATCAACTACATAATTATCAGCATATTCTTTAAGTTCCTTTTCGGCATTTTTATTTCCTATTTAGTCTGAAAGATATTTACGGGCTTTATCATATTTATCTTTCCATACATCTTCTTGTTTAAGTGCAGCTTTCTTTAGGTATGAAAGGTTAATAGCAGTTCCAAGAATTGATGGGAGATTTGGTAATTGAAGCCTTTATTTATAAGCTTTGGTTGAATTGTCTTAATAATTTCTTCTATAGGTGCATCTAGTTCGTTACAAACTGTATCGCTTAATTCAATACAACCATCTTCTTTTTGATCCGAAACGATTTTTTTGCATTTTCCGGGAGAGGCTGATTCTTCAACGACTATGAGTGCTTCAGCTTTTTCATGATCATCAAGTTTATCTTGATTAAACCGGTTTTTTCAATTTGATCTTCAAGTTTAGGTTCTTCTACTTTCGGGGTACGTCTAAAGCCGTGTGCGTTAAAGGTACTTTTTTGATGCTGTTAGGGTTACTTTTTTGATGCAGTAATGGTAAGTTGTTTATATAAGGATCAATAAGATAATTTATGTAGCATGAAGATCATTTCCAAA